CATCTCAAAAAGGATATACTAGCATTAGAAAAGGTTCAGAGGAGGGCAACTAAAATGATTAGGGGTTTGGAATAGGTCCCCATATGAGGCGAGATTAAAGAGACTGGGACTTTTCAGCTTGGAAAAGAAGAGACTAAGGGGGAATATGATAGAGGTATATAAAATCATGAGTGATGTGGAGAAAATGAATAAGGAAAAGTTATACACATACAGAATATAAGAGCTAGGCGCCACCAAATGAAACTAATGGGCAGCAGGTTTAAAACAAATAAAAGGAAGTTCTTCTTCACACAGTGCATAGTCAATCTGTGGAGCTCCTTGCCTGAGGTTGTGAAGGCTAGGACTATAACAGGGTTTAAAAGAGAACTAGATAAATTCATGGAGGGTAAGTCCATAAATGGCTGGTAGCCCTCTGTTTGTCAGAGGGTGGAGATGGATGGCAGGAGAGAGGGATTGCTTGCTGCAGCCAAAGAAGAAAGCTGGGAAAAGCTATTCTTCCATGGCTAAGTAACTGCCCCAGGAAAAGAACAAGCTAGTACTACTTAACATTCTTAATCTTGTATACACTGGGTGCAGCTCTACCCCTTGAGGGAACATTTGCAGTCCTAATATAGATAAGGGTCCAACTGGTTTCAGCTGTTTTGAATATCAGATGGTCAATTAGACTTGTGTGAAAAAGTTATAATTGGCACAGTGTAAAAAATACCAATCACTGAGAGACTTGGCCATATAAGGGTTCCAAAGTTGTGAACACTGGCGCTCTAATGTTAACACCAGCTGGAAACTTTTTGAAAATTATAGCAAGAGAGCAAAAAGCTGTCAAATGCCCTTAATTTGGTGACAGGAAAAAGTACTGGATTGAGGTAGGAAAAAGTCAGCTTGTTGCAGTTAGATCTACTAGCCTGACATGAAATCAATTTAAGTTAGTGGATTGCATAAATACTGCAAAATGTTGGAAGGTCCCAACACATTAAGCTATTAGTCATCCTAGCCAGATCATATTGCAATACTGTAGTGCTACTAATCTACTCATAGTCTCCCCTCTTACTCCATTGCTCTGCTGTAAAATGTGAATTTGTAACACATCCAGCTGTTCTCACAAGCTGAAACATTTCAGCCTTGTTCTCATCCCAGAAGCAAGTGTTGTAATAGTTTGATAAACATTTGTTGAACCATTTTTGAGCTGAGTGAATAGAGAGCATTTTTATGCATGATTCATCAGACTTATTTTTTCAGTTTAATTAATTAAGACTGTTTTAAATCTTCAATCTCAGCTATAGCGACGAGGAGTCCTGTGGCACCTTATGGACTAACTGAAGTGTAGGAGCATAAGCTTTCGTGGGCAAAGACCCACTTCGTCAGATGCATGCATCTGACGAAGTGGGTCTTTGCCCACGAAAGCTTATGCTCCTACACTTCAGTTAGTCCATAAGGTGCCACAGGACTCCTCGTCGCTATAGCTGAGATTGAAGATTTAAGGCTATGCAATTAGTCAAGATTGAGGAACATGTGCTTTTCTTTCTATGAAGCTATTTTATTTTAAAATAATAAAGTTATGTGTTTTTAAAAAAGTGTTAATCACAGACCACAAATTTTCTTACACCTCGAAAGTTTGATGTTTTGAGCAATCATACGTGTCTATGGTTGGGAATGAGAGTTGGCTAGAATGAGCCACAATGCCATTGCAACACTTCCAGTGCTTTCTCAGCAGTTAATGGGGGACCAAATCCAAATTTACTGGAAAGATTGAACAGGAGTTAGTTCATACCTTAAGATAGCAATCGATTTACATTTCTAGACACATATAAGTAGTATTTTCTATTGGTCCATCTTTGATGTGCAACTATGATAAAAATGCAAGGAAGCAGAGTTATGGTTAATTTTGAATTTTTCACACAGTATATTGAAAATCCAATTTCACCTGCCTTTAACACAGTGTTTCTCAAAGTGGTCCATTGATCCACTCTGATAGAGCTGCCAGTGGGCCACTTTGATTTGTTTATTTACTGGTGCTGCAGCCACGGTGCCTCGCGGCTCCCACTGCCTCCAGTTCACTGTTTACAGCCAAGGAGAGCTGCAGGAAGAAGCATGGCTCAGGTTGCTGCTGCTTCCCATGGCTCTCCTTGGCTGCAAACGGTAAACCAGAGCCAATGGGGACTGCAAGGCTTCATGGCTGTGGTGCCAGTAAATCCTGAGTAAATCTTTCGAAAAAGGTTTTTTTTCCCAAAAGAACTGCGTCTATACGGTGGTTTCACTTTCAAAAAGCCCTTTTTTGAAAGAACGTGTGGCTGCCATTATGCAAATGAAGCACGGGAAATTCAAATGCCAGCTTCATTTGCAATTTTGATCTGTCTAATTTACATCCCTCTTTTGAAAGAGGGATGTAGTCTAGACATGCCCCAAGGAGCGACAGGACTACTTGTGTTTTTAAAGTTACAGACGAACATGACTACCCCTCTGAGATTTTTCAACTTTATGTTGCATTTGTATAGCTATTTGGCATTTAACTGTGGTGAGGCATACATGATATCAGAAATAATTAAGAAAAGTGTGTGGAAAGTTTTAATTTTTCAGGTTCTTTCTTGAACAAATATTCTGTCAGAATTGGAGCAATAAGAGGTTTTAAACCAAGGCACATAGGGTAAATGTTGTGTTGTACTTTTACCTTGTTCAAAACAATTATAAGTGTTCCCAGAATTAAGAGGTCTGAAAGAAAGTAAAAACTAACAGTGCAAATAATTATCTAGCTTCTGAATACAAGTCTTGTTTTCAGTGATATTTGTAGTATTTTTCCTAGATGAAAACCACAGGTGCAAGGAAATGACTTCAGATGTGAAACATTAATCAGTTTGTTTTTTTCCCTTCATTTTGATTGCCAGTGCTTAGTATGTTTTTAATCATAGTTTTTGTTTATTTTAGTTGAGGTAGCAACACATGAGTAAAGCAAGTCTGGAATCTTTTAGCAGGATTTAAAAATAAATCTTCTGTTTTTACTTTTTATGGGAGAATTCATTCATTTAGTAACTGCTTTGAATTAAATTTATATAATGAATGAAATTATATAGAAATCAAGTTCCTTATTTCACTAGTGCAGTTAATTCTATTGTTTAATTTGATGATGGAAAAAGAACAGAGTGTGAATCAAGTTGTTTGCAAACTTTAATTTTTACATAGTTTGTCTGCTATAATAATAGCTAGGACCTGAACTACACATTCTGATTAGGTTCTAATTTGATGTTGCACAAAAGCAGTCTTGCTTTAAAACAAATTAAAAAATAACATTTTTAAATGCCAACTTTTGTTACAACAAAGTTTTAAAAGGCAAACTTTTAGTGAATAAAGGCCTACGTATACTTATGTACATATAAACACACAAACATACACTTGAAAGAAATTAGCTTCTGAAATACATGTATACTCCTTGACCACAGTCTTGGAAGCTTTTTCCATGCTTGAAGAGCCCTGAGCACCATTGATGTCAGTGTGACTTAACATAGGCTCAAGAGAAACCCTGTGCAGATCAGATTGCAGGATTGGGGCCTTTGTTTGCTTTTTGCACTTAATTCAGGTTGGAGCACAGAAATAGATGCCAATTTCATTTCAGTCCAGTTAGCTTCACATTCTGATTCTCACATTTACTAACACATTGCTGCCCTCTTTGATTGGTAATACTGTGAAGTTTATAGTTAAGCAGAACCTTCTGAGATTAAAACTTAATGAAGTTCATTAAAACATATTGAAATAAAGTTTATTAAAGTCCATACTAAAGCAAAAACTACTTTTTAGTTTAAAAATGAATGTAAATTTTTAAATTTAATTAATCAATGTAAGATATGTCTGAAGACTACTTTATCTCCAGGTTCATTGCTTTTTAAAGACTTATTTTTCTGCATATATGCTTGCCACAAACTCTGAGAACTTTCACTTTATTTACATCATATATGAAAAAACTATGTTAAAACATTATTAAAATGGAAAGTCAAGCATTCAGAAGTTAAGAAAAGCAGGAATTAAGGTTGTCTGTATCATTTCCAGAGGTACCTGACACTTTGAACTGTGATCCTTCACCTTTAAGTATTCAACAATGTGATCAGTATTCAGCAAAACCCCCATTCCCTAGGAATCAAATATGTTGCCTTCAATACAATGCTCTTTGCTAAGGGAGCAAGAGCTTCCTCACTTTTAGGAATCATACTAAGCAATCTCTGCTGCAATGCACAGCATCACCAGGCTAATAGACCTGTCCCCAGTAAGATATTTTTAATATTAACAAAGTTGATTTACTGCTAGCTAAAAATAGATGGTAAAAATGGAGAGTTATTTTTTAAATAATATTTCTTTCTGGAAGGCTGCTCATGGAAGTCCAAGTAGTTAGAGTGTTGTAAGAAAGTGATTCTGTATCAAGGTGATTGTTATAAAGAAAGATATAATGTTTAAAGTGTGTGCGCCAGAATAAATCTGGTATGACAGAGGTAACTTTATAAAGAGAATGATCTATATTATTATAAGCATGCTGGCTGCACTACCTATTATTAAGGTTGCCTGACACTTTGTGGATGTGCCTTTTTGGGGAAAATGGTATGGAAATGTGTTATTGAAGACTGCATCATCATGCAGGCAGCCTTAATTTCAGCATTTCGTAAGTTTTACTAGGTTTTGGATGCTACAATTTGCAATCTTAATGAAAGTTCTTTTGGTGTAGTTTTGTTATACCTAATAGATTCAATAAAGATAGACTGTAGGATTGTGTTAAAACAATGAACAATGTTTTCAGACTCCTTTTCTTATAATTTGCAACACCTTTCAGCTTGACTGAGTTGGAAAACTGACAGATGAAATATATCTTGTCTAAACAATTGAAGTAATAATATACATGAGACATAAATTTCTGTTTTATAATTCTCCTAATTGTAGCTGTTTAAATTCTGTTGCTAGTGACATAGGGATAGTGTTATCTTTTGATAGATATATTAATTCTGGTGCTTTTGTTCCTTTTCCAGGATTTTCTTTGCATGCTGCTGGAGGACATCCCAGAACAAAAAGGGTATGAGAGAATCAGATTAGAAAAGATAAAGAATGGGGAATGGAAATAAGCTGTACCAAGTTGTGCCAACTTGGAGATGTCAGTAAGGGGATTCTACTTCAGTAGTTTTCAGACTCCGATATTACATATAGACACAGATACAGAAATCACACAGAAATCACACACGTGAGTGGTCCAGGCCATGGATGTTGTCAAACCAGAGAATTCCAGGTTAATATAACTAATAGGAAAGGGAAGTATTGAGATATTTTAATATAGATTGAACCTCTCTAACCTGGAATTCTCTGGTCTGACAACATCCGTGGTCCAGGAGGATCATGGATGTTCCTTGGCCAAAGAGCCCTAGTGGCTGGGAGTCCAGTGGCAGATGGGCCAATAGCTGGGAGCTCTGCTCTCAGAATACATTGGATACATAGTGAGGATCTATTGCACTTATATAGCACTTAAATGTTAAAGAATTCAACTTCACAACACTTTGTTGGATAGGGACATGCAGTTTTTAATCCTGTTTTACAGAAGGGTTAAAAATGAGGGGAAGAGAGTTTCAGGGGGAGAGATAAAAAGACACAAATGGGGATTTGGAACCTGTTTTATGCACACTTGAATGTTTCCCCCCAAGTGGCTTGCCCAAGGTTACATAAGGAAGTCTGTAGCAGAGCTTTGAATAACCCTTGTTCTGTACTTTAGCTACAGAATCATTCATTCCTAAAGCCACGTGACTGTCAGTGTCCAAATACTGGATCGAATTCTTCCATTCTTACTCAAGTACAAGTACATGTTACTCCATGAGTAATCCCCATTGTCTCCAGTGGGACTTCTTGAGACATAAGATGTTATTCAAAATGTGTACGGAGCTGAGAATCTGGTTCATAGTTATATAATGAATAATAACATTTCGGCCTACAGCAAACAAAAGACTGGTTTTGTGAAAAGTAAACAGATATTGCAAACAGATATAGCCAAAGGAAAAGCAGAAATTGAAGAAATATTGTTGTCTATAGCTGGTAAAGCCTATTGGCCAAGGTAGGCCTCTGAAAAATTTGCAGTGTTCTCCGTGCAAGTTCCACACATGTATCTGAAGGTCAGTGTCCCCTCATACAGTCAATATATTAATTTTTCCATTTAAAAACTGTTATAACTCCTTGGTTCTCTGTTTAAGCAAAAGGTCTATAAATCTTAATTCTAATTTTATTCACTGTTCTTGCATATTTAGCTGCATATTTAGTACCTGCCTCAGCCTGCCAAGTGTGCCCTCGTGAACTTTCAATTTAGAGTGGACTGGTCTGCCCTGGAGGCTCAAGTTCATGATTAAACTTACTTCATAATAAGTAGTATGTTAGATACAGTATCAGAATTACAAAGTTTCACAGGACTTTTAGATCAGTGACTGGTTTTATCTAAAATCATTCCTCATGATGGGGGAGTAATAACTTTATAATTAACATCTTTTTCCATCTGCCAACTCTCAACCATTGCTGAGACCATAACTTAGAAATATTGCCAAGTTTTATCAAGTTTGAAGTGTGTTCTAAAATACATTTACATTTCAACCAAGAAAAAATATATTCACGAAGAACCTTTTCTTTTTTCTTTTTTTTTTTTTCTCTCATTCTGGTGTCATTGACACTTATTTTCCATTTTGATAAAAATGGAGAAGGGGGGACAGTGACTTTTTTTTTGTAAAAAGGTTAATTATTCCATAAAGTCCTGTAAATATTTGGGAGCTGTTTTAAGCACAAACTGCTTTGTTTTTTGCAAAGTGGTCAAAATAAAATGTGTTTGAATCATTTTACTGATTGCAGGTCTTCTGTGCATTGAAAATATAGGGCCAGTTTACTCTGTGTGTTAGCTGAGATATACGACTTTAACGAGTCTCCTCCCTCCCCTCTTCTCATGGCTCAGGATCATTAGAACGAATAGAATAAGGGAGATAAAGGGAATGTCAGGGACAATCAACAAACATTTGCATCAGCATCTTGACAATTCTCATATTTTCAGTTGAATGTAAGTCTTCTACCAAATAGGTATGTGTAGTAAATTTAGTGTAGGGGGTATATGCTGTTAAATATGGACATTTTGTAGACCCTAGTTTTTCAAAGTTTATGTAATTGCTTCACACCTTGGACAGTCCAGGAAAATGATGGAAATGAAACTTTCAAATTCTGCTATTCTTTCATAACCCTGGACTAATTTCCCATGTAAATCTGAATGTTCTCAGCATCTTGTAAGCTGGGTCACTCAGAAGCATTGTGAATGTGCTATTTTTTTATAACCCCAAGGTTAAATATTGGCTATCTAAAAATCATCTCTAGTATAGGGAAGAATCAGACTCCTTGTTTGGTATCACCATGAGTTTAGTATCTAGCAGAAAAAGAAATTGAAGCTCTACAAATTCAGACTGGAAATCAGACATATCTTTTAAACAGTGAAAACAATTATTCAGTGGAAGACCTTACCCAAGCTCATGGTGGATTCTCCATCTCTGACAACTTTAAAAATAAGATTGGATGTTTTTCTAAAAGATTTGCTTGAGCAATTATTTTGAGGGATTTCTATCATCTGTGCTATGGTGGAGGTCAGACCAGATGATCACAGTTGTCTGGCTTTGCAATCTATTTATGTAGACCAGAGTCTTTATTTTTACCTTTCCAAAAGTATCTCAGGAATAATTCTTAAATAATGGGAAATGGTAAAAAATGGACAGGAAAAATAAGAAGTTAGTTCATTATTATGACAATATGCCCAGATTTCTTGTTAAACCCTCTTTTCATTTCTCACTTTTCCTATGCTTACATTTGGTGCAAAGTGTTACTGAACAAGGAAACCAATTTTTGATCATAGATATATGCCAAGATATTTTCACTTTGGTAAGGTCACTGCTAATGAAGTAGGACTCCACTTGCTCTTGCATCCCCCTGTCGAATTTCAAATTCATGATAATCTATTTTATAAACAAACACATGCTATACCTGAATTTGTCTACTGCCAAAATCACACTGGGGATAAGAGATCAGTGGTAATGCCAAGAATAACAAAAGGTCGTCTGTACATAGAGCAGGGTTTTATTCCTTGTATGTAGCAAGGATGCTTTTCTATTACTGGACATTCTCTCTTATTTGAATATACTGGGTTAAAAAAAAAAAAAAGCAAAGGCAGATGGTTCTCCCAAAATTAAATTTATTTAAACATCTTATGATGATGAATGTTTCATCACACATGCATTCCAGAATTGGAGAGCTAAAATGCCTTGTTGCACAAAAGTGGAAGATCTATACTACCCAAACAAATATATTTTAATACTAAGAAATGTCCATTAGTTAGATGGCATTAATACCCAGGCTCCAAAGGCTTGTAATGTAATGCTGGTCCTTATAAAAATGTTTAATCATATACAATAATTACTCGTTTAACACGTGTCCGCTTAACACATTTTTGCAATAGCACGATTTTTTGAGGGAACATTTTTTGAATAACACAACCGTCCCTGAAATAACAAGAAAAAAAAAATCAAGTGGTGGGCTACTTCGTGCGGCGGTATAAATTGTGAAAACTGCAGTAATACAGTAGACTTCCGATAATCCAGCGTACTGGGAGGAACTATAAGGCGTCTGTGACGGGTCTGCCAGGACCCGCACCGTGTCCGGCGACGGGGGGGGTGTTGGCAGGGAACGGCGCAGTGAGCGGTGAACCCTCCGTCACTTTGTAGGGAGGTGGGGGAAGCTCCTGGACGCCTTGCTCCCCTCCTCCACCCCCACTTGCAGGCTGGGGGGGGGGGGTTCCCCCCTGGCCCGTTTTCTCCACGGAGCTTGCACTGATTGGGGTTCCCAGCCAGCCCATTGCCGACGGCTGTATCTCCCTGCAAAGCAGCGGAGGGTTCGCCACTCGCCAAGCCATTCCCCCTGACCCTCCCCCCTCGCCGGATGCAGTGCGGGTCCCGGCAGACCCGTCACAGGGAATACTCCCAACCCATTCCCCTCCTGTCTCCTCCCCACGCCTCCCCTCCCTGCTGTAACCCAGTCCCCTTTCTCCCACAACCTTATGTCCCGGTCCCAAGGCAGCTGCCTGTACTCAGCAGCTGGCTGCTAGCAAGTGCAGGCTGGAGCTGCATGTGGACCTCACAGCAGCCTGGCCAAGAGAGCGGCTGACTGGATCACTTCTGGGTTCCAGTTGATGCCAGACAACTGGATGCTGGACAATTGGAGTTTTACTGTACAGGACATTGTCTAATGTTGACGACTCAGCACCAACAGAAAATTGACTTCAACACCACTGCTTGAAACGCAACCCCCACCTTTTCCATTATTTTCAATAGAAAAATTGACCCCGCATAACACTTTTTTGCTTAGGATGTTCACTTTTTTGCTTGGGATGTTCTGAAACATATCTACCATGTTAAATGAGGAATTACTGTAAATTTGGGCCAAACTTCTGACACAAGGAAAGGTGCTGCTGGAAATTTCCCCTTCTGTCTTCACATCAGCAATAGCATTGTACTGCTGTAACCGAACACAGAATTTGGTTTGTTGTAGATTTTGACATGAAAACTCCTGGATTATCATTGGCCGAAAACAGTCATGAGACAACATGGCAACGTTATATATTTTATATGTTGGAATAATGCTGATTATTTTTCCTTTACTGAGTACATCAGGTGAGGTCTAGAGGGTTCTTGCATCAAAGTTTGAGTTTCCCTCCAGTATAGGAGAGCTTTAATATTTAGTCTCAGATGATTTTGCAGCTGATACCCATTTTTGGGTAGCTGCATGTAAGAGACTCTTCTCCATTCAGATTCAGCCTCCCAAGTGACATCCCTATTGATTTTGTGTCTCTTTCAGACCTATAAGAGATGATTTTAAGGTGCATCTGTACTAGTGGTTCTTAAACTCTGTTCCACGGCACAGTGGTGTGCCACGAGGCAGTCGGAAGTTTGCCGAGGAGAACAACATAATTCAAAATGGCTGCCCTTAAAGGGGCAGGCGACTTTTTTTCTCAATAACTTT